GGGGGGAGGGGGTTGTGAGTTTTGAGGGTGAGGGTGAGTGTTGATACTGGGTACTTGGGTAGTGCGGTGATTGTTGGAACTTGGGAGATGATGTATGGAGGTGCGTTGGTAGATAGGGTTGATACAGTAGTTGCTGAAGTGGGTGGGGTTATGTAAAATAGTATGTAGAGATTTGAGCTTGTGACTTAATCTTCCTCTTTTCCTTTCAAGATAGAAATACTAGCTCCGCTTAATCGAGCTTTGCTAGGTTATACGTACTATTACCTATACCGAGTATATTTACTCGGTACTCGTATAGGCTATAGCGATACAAACATTATTCCGCTCCGTGGCACGTTGATACTAATTGTAACTTTTGTCACTTGCAGCAGCTAGCTGGTTTGGTGCTATGAGTACTTGCTGTTAGAGAAGATATGAGGGAGCTGGGACGGAAGTTCCTCGTGAAGTTGTCGTGGAAATTTTAGTGTAATATTTTTGATTGGGGTGTCAATTCCGGGAGTGAATGCTGTGCCTGTGTTTTTGAGTGTTAGTATTGGAGTCGTTGTGAGGTGAAGTGGAGCAGCAAAAGGTGGCTGGGTTGTGATCTGGCTTTCTTACTATGATAAGTCGTTGATTTTGAAAGTTTCTTTGGTTAGGATGTTCTAGCTCTTGTCCTCGCTTATTATATGTGGACCTTTCCTTGATGAAATATGTACCACAAAAGGTTGACACTGGTAGCGTGTGCGCAAACTAATCGACTACTCAATTAGACTCAAGTGGTACTCGAGTTAAGTTAATTTGAGTATGAATAGGCGGTTCTGTTAAGTTGGGTTGAGTAGTGGATTTAACTAGTTAGATCCTACTTAAGTAGGATTATAAATAGTATAGTAAGTAAATAATAATGAAATTATCCTTAAAAGGTAGCTCTCTAGGAGCCCTTTCCTTATCTGATTCGGTATAAACCCCTAGCCTTTTAAGCTTGTTATTACCTTAAAACTCTCTTTAGTCCTGTTCCTTTTTTTTGAGATTATATTAGCTCACTAGCTAATTAAACGCTCGCTAGGAGCATTTGTCGCCAGAATTTGTATTTCCTCGATAAAATAGCTAGAGTAGGGTCCGAGTAGGCGGACTGGCCGGCCTATCTGTATGGCCAGGGATTCGGGCCCGCTACGGGGATTCGGGCCGGTCAATTCCGGCTACTCGAATAGTAATTAAAACTCATCGAGTTCTTGGCGAGTTGAGTTGAATAGCGATTTTCACTACTTGAGTTGAGTTGAGTAGGTGTTCTACTCAACTCGACTACTCGAATTATACACGCTGGTTGACAGAGAATAAACTTGAATGATTCTATCATCCTGTTACAGGCAAAGAAACGAAAATCATTGTCCGTAACTTATGCTCGTCTCACTTCAATTCTCATGACGAAATCTTCATAGGTTATTTTTCGAAGAATAAGTGCTCACGTGATCATCTCTCCCATTTAGGAAATATCTCAGAAACGAGGTGAATTGATTGGAGTTGGGAAGGTTGGGACGGTTTCTTGCATTGTGGTTATCGGTACATCTGGTATTCCGTAGAGTGGTCAACAAGGGTTGAAGCAATCAGTCCTTGTTCGGTGTCTAATTGCTTCAGGAAGCAAAGGTACCTAGCTAGCTAGACTACAAACGCTTATATGCCAGTGCTGGGTAACGTGAGTAGACAGGACGCGACTGTAGCGACTGTAGTTTTCTTCTATTTACTTGTTTTGGGGAGCTGTCGTTCTAAACTCATAGCTGGAGAATGAGCACGTGACCTACTTCGAAATTCCCCCCTTTTCCCCTTCCTTCGGGCACTAATGAGACCTGTGATGAATAGATGGACAGAGCAATCCTTGTTAGAAGAGGATAATAAGAGGTGATTGCAAACTTGATAAGAAGGCTTTACAAGTAAACTATGTCCTTCAGAAGACTATCCTTGTTTAGAAAAAAGATTCGTAAATCATGAACCCACAATCATTATCCCCATCGCTTCCATGGCTATGAAACAGTTTGTTTTTACGCAAGAATATGAACCAAAACCAGTAAACAGTAGCATCCAGATCCTCGTATTCCCAATATTCCTCCTATCATCCATTCGATTCAGTCAATACACACTTCCTCCTTTCAAGACTCCAAAAGCTTTTCTCGTCGAGGTTTCAATACTTACTATCCTGGTTCCCAAAACCTGGTACCAGAAATATTAGCAAAGGTGAAATATAACATTTTGGTTTCAGCTTACCATTATTACTGAAGTCAACGATTCATTCATCGACATTTAGTTTCTCTGAGATTGGCGAAAGGGATTGACTCGGAGTTCGAAATTGGTTGTTCCTCAAACCCAAGAATTTCCACAACTTGCCCGAGAAGTTCTCGTCTCAGTTCGGAAAGTTCTTTTAGACGTCCCAGAGAAGAAATTCCATACGACGGTGCATACCAACCATCGACAACCACCTCAGCAGCCTTGACCCCGGACCAATCCTTGAATTCCGTGTCTGAAACTGTCCGATGACTAAATTCGATTTTCAGCTGATCCGTAAAACGTTCGACCAGCAACCAATGAACAATGTCCTCAAAGTGTCTTGCGGATTCCAACGCGTTGTAGAGTTTTCCATCACGCATGAATGAAACCTTTGCACCAGCTCTCACAAGATATTTAACAGAATCCAGCCGGCCACTTACACATGCTGAAATCAGAGGCGTGCCATGAAAATCCCCTCTGAGCTCCAAGTCTGCTCCTGCCTCGATCCAAAGTTCCAGAAGATCGACTCGACCATTTCTACTTGCAATACAAAGCGGGTGTTCTCGTGCACCATCCCATGTTTTCCTATCATATTCTTTATCAATTGCAATCATGTAGCCCGGTAGACATTTGGCCAGTAGGTTAAGCTTATTGATTGGAAATTGAATGAAAGCGTCATGACGTAATATCATTTTGCAGCGGCCAAAATCGAACCGCAAATTGCATAGCAAGGATAGGAATTGAGCACGGTTTTCCATTTGACCTTCAATCAGAGCCCTCTCAATTGGATTCGGCATACTGATGCTAGGTGTGTCATACGGATCAAGTCCTTGATCAAACAAGTATAAAAACTTGCTTGGACTGGATATTGCTACATGAAGGAGGTTGCACCCAGTTGGGAAAAGGTACCGCAGGCTACTCGAGTCAAAGGAAGACACAATATTAAACGAGAGGGGTGCTTTGCTCTCTAGTGCCATGGCAAGTGCAGTTTTTCCGCTGCGTGTGCTCGCGAACGGATTGGATCCATATTGAAGAAGAAGTTCGAAAGTATTCAGCAATCCAAACTTTGCAGCAAGGTGCAAAGGCGTCTGAAAGTTATAGTCTGCGGAATTTGCTTTCGCACCGTGTTCCAGAAGAATCTTGGTAATATCATAGCTTCCGACAAACACAGCCAAGTGCAAGGCTGTCCCGAAAGCTTTCAAGGTAGTGATGAACTTGTCTGGGCGACCAGAAAGCACCCAGTCCCATTGGAGTTTGCGTGGGTCAATACAAAAATCTATCATTGATGGACCAATTTGTGCTTGGTGAAGAGGATGCAACTGGGGCTCTTTTAAGATCCGAGAAAAGGGTTGCTTGTGCTTTGCTTGATCTAGGCACAAGTTCGATGGAGTATCTTCGTTCAACTGTTGCTTGAGTATAAGCTTGGCTGCTTCCAAGTTTTCACACGCTACTGCAACATGCAAGGGACTAACGGGAGCCCGAAAGGCAAGGAAACCGGGTTTTCGATCCTCCCCCAGAAGCAGCGATAAGATATCCTGTGGCGAGTCCTCGCGGCAAGCAAGGTGCACTGCGGAGTGACCAACCCACCACCACGGTTCATCCAGACTGCTGGAATAGCTACTGTAAGCTTGGCCCAGAGTCGTCGGTCCTTCTTTGATTAGATAGCGGGCAATGCCGTATTGCCCTGAAACAAGAGACGTAAAGACAGGGCTGCATCCTTTGCAAATTCGAAATCGCCTATTCAAATCAACACCTGCCTTGACGATACTTTTGCATGAGTCTAAATCGCCTCTTCTTATGGCACTCTCAAGAGACTTTGACAAAGAACTACTGAACGCATCGCTATCAGGCCTTTGGGGTAGCCCAGTCTCAGCGCCATCAGAGGCTTCGTCTTCTGTAGGGTTCTTAATCAGTCTTGTCTCATCAAAGTAGGTTCAAAACCCCCGATTCTCTTGAACTCTTTCTCATCACGGTAAACCGCAACAATAAGGGAAATGACTATGCTTACTTTCTATTCGCTTCTTCCCTATGATCCTGGCGATTTTGATGTGTCCTCGACTTAGCGCATGCATCTCAAGTGTCAGCCCATTTGAGTCGGCACCCAATCCGCAATGATGGTTCAATAGCGTCTCAACAGTCTTGGGATGCCCAAATTTGGCTGCTGTATGAATTGGGCGCAAACCAGACAATGAAACAACTTCGATGTTAGCCCCCGCGGCTAACAATTGCTCCACATTGATATATCTATCAAACCTAGCCGCAAGATGCAGGGCGGACTCGCCATTGTCACTGAAGGAATTTATGTCTTCCCAGAACCCTTTTTTCAGAACAATTTGCAAGCAAATTGGCACGTTACAAGCAGCCAAATGAAGCACATTGCAACCGTCGATGCTTACATTATTGTGGAACGTACTTCCTATGCTTCCCCATTCAATGCTCAACCCCTCGAATTCCAGTAGGACAGGGTATCCTGAGCCAAGACATGCGTAGTGTACCACCAGGCAGCCATTGTCATCCTTCACACAGTAATCAACACTTTCGCCAAGCAGCCATTTAACAAGGTGCGATTTTCCATTTTGAGATTCCAGCATCAACGGAGTCATCTTTCGAGTGTTTGACGTCGGAACATCGATGTCTACGCCCAAGTCCCGAAGCGCTTTGAGATGAAGCTTTGTAGCCGAAGATTCCTGCATGCATACGACATGGGGAAGATAAAACCCCCCTGAGTTGCAAGAGTTGATTTTCTTGGATTTTGCCAGTATCTTTTGGTACAAATCGATTCCTATTCCTTCGTAGCTCGCAAGAAAAACAGGGGACCATTTGTTTGGTTCTGTGACCACATCCACATCAACGTCCTTCGACAGCAATAATGCAGTAACTATGCTACATTTATCCGCGATTGCTATATAAATTAGAGGCTGCAAGTTGTCGCTGGGGTTGTTGTACCAATGTTGTAGCTCATTCAATGATTCAACATTTGTTGTGCTTTCAACAATACAGATTAGGATCGTCTCGAAGGAATCTAAAGATGTGATTGGTGGAGGGTACGCTCTAAGTAGGACTCGTAGAGATGACTCGCCACTTGTGTTGCATGTAGTAAAAGTGGCTTCTCTACGTTTCAGCAATTGCACAAAATTTGTTCTCGTATGCCGCCATTCCTTTTCTGTCGTGACAGAAGGCGCTAAGGCGTAATACACTGGCATGTTGCCATCTTTGTTCGGCAAGGATATTGCTTCCTCAGTTGCCAGTAATTCAGTCACTTCCAGATCGCTAGAAATCTCATCACGAAGAAGCCTGTATATAATCAGTACCTAATTCCCTCAAAGACCGAAGAATTGAGAGAACGTCAAATAGGCGACACCGCGAATTCTGCCAACTACTTATAAGGACCAGAAAATATATTCTTCGTTATCACTTACCTATGAAGTGGGATTTCGCCGTCGTTGGTAGTTATATTGGGGTTCACGTCGTTATCAATCAGAAACCGCACAACAGTCGGATCTACATCTTGAGGAATAAAGTGTAGAGCTGTTTTACCATCCGCAGTTCTTTCTTGCAACGAAAGCCCCTTATCCCGAAGTAATTTTAAGAGGTCTATTGAGTTCATCCTAGCCACATAATGGACAAGACTCATACCAAGCGGACATTTCTGAGACAAATCTGAATGCTGAGGAATCAGAACCTCCAAACCACCTGGATAAAGACGTCAGCTTGCTCCACTATTCAACGCAAAATCAGGACTTGTGTCTTCTCAAACTTCTGACTAAAGAAGATGAAGCATCGGTTTCTATCGCCTCTCTCTCTTAAGATATAAACTTCCCCAAGTAATGGAAAGTATCATTCGAGAGGATTAAGTAAAACAAACTAGTCGAGATTCTGATTGTTCCAAACCTTCCGGGAGCAATAATTTCGGGTGTCATACTTCTTCTGCATAATCTGCGATTGTGTGCTTTACGTATAGCTCGCCTCATATATAACTCGAGGAAAAAAGAAGGAAGCTTGGCTCACCTATGCTTTGGTGCTTCGCCACGTAGAATAAGGGGATGAATCCCTCCTCTTCGCGAGTCGCTAAAGATTGATCCAGCTGCTCATCTCGACTCATAAACAGCACAAGTGTAGCTTTGCTACCATACTTAGCAGCAACATGCCAAGGTGTATGTCCACGTTTGTTAACAACAGTGAGATTTGAACCATTATCAAGGAGAGCAGATACACACTCGTTATACCTACCATCGCGGTTTGCTGCCACATGTAAAGGTGTGTCTCCTTGGTTATCAGCAGCGTTCACTTTCGCGCCCAGGGAGATTAAAAGCTTAGTCGCATTTGAAGACCCACAATAAACAGCGTTGTGAAGTGGCGTATTCTCGAGGTATCCGTGTGTAAACGAAGACTTTAATGAAGATTCGCGCAACAGTAATTCCATCATGCTAGTCTGATCAAACCGGATAGCGCAGAGAAACTTTGCTTGCAGATCCTCTTGTGGAAGCCTAAGGAAGCTGCCATTTCCCAGCCCAATTTGAGGCAAGCCAGAGAAGGTCTTGAACTGTAAAGCGATATCCAGAAGTGCATGTTTGACTTCATCGTCTTGTGTGTTTTGCTCAAACTTTTTGACAAGTGTTTCAATAAACTTCTGATATGCATCTTTGTCGTCACTGAAAGCGTGATTGTCATCCTCCACGAGCTGCTCGAAAACGATCAAAAGATCCTTGTCAAGCTTCGGACCCGCTTCAATAAGTAATGTTAATGGATGGTTGGAGCCATCAGTCGTTCTTGTGTGAAGAGCAAGCTTGACATATGAAAATTCTTGGCCATGCGAGTCCTTATAGGGCTTGTTGAAATCGGCGCCTTCATCCACAAGTAGCCGCAAAGTATTTATTCTTGTATAGAGCTTATAGTGCCCTTTAGAATGCATCGTGAACCATTCTGAATCTACAAAGAATTCTGACAATATATCGATTCCCTGAATGGTAAGAATTCAAGTCAGTGAACCTGATTCAGACAGATTTCAAGACTAGAAAAAAGAAGGAACACACTATTGCACTCATCTAGATCATTACATTGAGTAGTTTTACGGAGATTCAGACGAGCACATAAGGGAAAAGGCATAATAGAAGTTGACGTACCATTAGTGCACAGTGCAGCGGCGTACAGAGGTCGCTTGATCGGTTGATCTGGCAGTCAGACGATAAAAGCCACTGGCACAACTCATATGCGCCCATCGCAGCCGCAATATGAAGTGGTTCTACCCCTCCAGTAAGCACATATTCTGTGGCTAAATAAAAAATCCTACGTCGATCGGCTTCGCGTTTTGCAAAGGCGGAGCTATGTATAAAAAGATCGTCTCGAGCCCAAGATAGGAAACATAAAGTCTTTGACGAGTCGAAGAGCTCCTGTACCAGTGCAAGCATTTTTTCATCCGTACAATTGCTCTTCGCATATGTGAACCAGTAACGAACAGCGTGCATTCTGAATGGGTGTTCGACTTGTTGGAGGCGCCATTCATCGAAATCTTCTATAACATCAGATTGAAAAGGATCCAACATGATATACGCGAGACATGTCTTTGCTAGTGATGCGTGAACTTTAGTTTCATTCTGAGAGTACTGACTATAGGGCGAGTTGGGATCGATGGAGGTGAGAAACTCTTTGACGGTGAAATGAGACAGCTCAAATCCTTCGAGCTTGTGATTGACTTGAACTAGACTGCTGCAGTGAGAAAGAATCGTCTCTTCATCATAAAAAGCCTCTTTGTCAAGACTCCTATCTCCTGGTCGTATTGAAATGGCCTCGCAAAGTTCATCGAGGGACAAGGTTCCACCTTCACTTGAGACAACCCAGTTCAAGGTGGTCTGGACCATCTCTTGTACACCATGACCGCTTCGATTCACTCCATCAAGGATTCTTTCGTATGTTCCGTAAAGCGTTGGTGGTAACATTTTCAGAGCTTTTCGCTTTCCTTCGTCGGTCGGAAACTCACATAGGAAATCGATTTGGCACGACACCCAACGAAACCTTGGAGATCAAAATTAGGAAAACACATCCAAGATACAATTCTTTATACCTTTCCCGGAAGAAAAATATTGAAAAGAAGCTACTTATATTATAACTCGCAGAAACACGGCAAGACTTTCGTATAATCCGCCATTTTATGTTGGTTATAGGAAGGGGGGCCTAGAAAAATGAGAATGGAACCAAAACTTATATTCCGGCAGCTCGCTCAACCAAGGTCTTCTTAATATGCTCTTTCAGCTCGTTACCCCTGATGCGTAACCTTCCCCTTCCCGCTCCTTTTCGTGCTTCTAACTCGGCAGCTACATAGAGCTCCAGTTCTTTGCTTTGCGCAGAGATTTCAAGGTAAATAAATTCTTTCTCGAGAACTTCACGGATTCCGAAGTCTTCTCGGCTGAGAACCAAGAGTCGAACGTTGCTCTGATGGTTGGATACAAGCTTGTTGAGTGATTCAATTACTGTGATGGTATTTGTTCCGCATTCGTCGAGACCGTCTACAATTATCGACACTTCTTCGAAATGGCTGGACATCTCTAGCATTGTTGTTATAAGCTGGGAAATATCCGGGAGAAAAAAAGCCCGGTCCTCAGGATGGCAGGTTTTGTACAGCCTCTGGAGTAATGTGAATGCGCCCTCGGCTTGCCGTGCAAGCTGCGCAGCTAAAGAGCCAAGATGTTTATAGGTGTTTGCTTTTCTAGGTCTCTGTAGTCGCAATAGAAGTAGGCGACAGCTTGATTACAGCTGCTATCATCCATAGTCTCTTCAATCAACGAGGCCGCAAGAACGGTTTTCCCACCACCTGCAACCCCTGAGAGCCATAATTTTGAGTTGCGAATTCGAAGCCAACTCCGAAATATTTCTCCCTCAGTTACCCACAAACCTGTCAAGGGATGGCGGAGTTTTAAGTTTGCCTGATGATTCAGAGTTGATTCAACCTTGCCAAAGTATTCCAGGATTTCTTTTCGCTCTTTCCGGAGGGATATATGTGTTTCCGTGGCCCATCTTGACTTCAGCTGAGTTTTCAATTTACTAAGATCTTCAGCTATTTTGTTCTGACGCGATGAAGCTTGGAATACCGCGGATAAATTATTGGCAGACAATGCAATATTGAACGTTGATTTGTGTCGTTCGACCTCGACAATCAAATCTCTTGTTTCGGCCATAGAAAACGGCCATTTGAGTCTTTTTATCAGCCTTTCTTCCCGGCTGTGACCCGGGGCCGCTGGATCGGTAGTTTCGAGTTTCTTTTCGAGTTTCGCCAGGATTTCCCTGCAGGCATTGATATGATGAAGTCGAAAATTGGTTTCTGATGTCGTATCTCCTTGAAGTACATCTGTATACAAGGAAAGTCTGTGCAACAGCCCACACAAATATATTATCTCGGATGCCAGCTGGGCTATCTCCTTTTCGGAATTCTTGACAGTTTTGATATAACGGTATGTTCGAGTGTATACAGTGCCTGCTATCGCAACAAGCCCAGCAATGCTACCGGCAACCGAGAGAGGTTCTGCCATTTTGATGTCGTATTTGAGACGTCGCTGTGATTCCCAGCCTTGTACAATATAACTATCAAATGAAGATCAAATCGAGCAGCACTGATAGCCGTGCGATGTTGCAGCGAAAACGGGTTCTCGAGTGGGTGACCAGGACTGGGACTTCTCGTGGGCTTGTAAACGATTTATTTCGTTTTTTGTTCTGTTGAAAAGAAAAGAGGGGCAAGGAAGTAAGGCTCCTCGGTGCATGGTATTTTGACTTAATGTAGAGCTGCCATCGAATGAGCCTCGCTGAATGCCAGCTGCAGGCGCTACAATACCATGTTGCGTTTCGCGTACCACGAGCACTGCCTCATGGCGGGGTAGGTAGTAGACCGTACGTTGAATCGTTGATCTCCCAAGGCTACCGGTTGCCACAGGCTGTCCGCATATGGAAATGTTCGGCCAAATATGATAGCGGAATCCATTCCGGATATGATGGTGTTGCACTGCTGATACCTCTAGGTGTGTTAAAGTAGGGCCTCCAGGGAGTGAGTTCAGAAGTGATTGCTCAAGCGAGTAAAATCTATTTACTGAGCATGCGCACCATCAACCTTTCCCCATCCACCACCACCCGGAGTGTTGATCTGGATAATCTCACCTTCATTCAACGCCACAACTCCCTTTCATCCAAGACTAATCATCTCCAAGACCCCCTCTAAATTCCTCTTCCAAACCAAATTCAGCCCCACCGCCCCAGGCTCTCCACCTTCCATCCCATAAGGCTGAAACACCCTCCTCTCACTCAGAATACTGAACCTCAATTTCTCCCTCGCTTCAATCTCTCTGATGGTCCCATCACCCCCGTTCCATTTCCCTTTCCCCCCACTTCCTCGTCTAATACTATACTGCCTCACCAAAATTGCAGCCCTCTTCTCGATAACCTCTGGATCAGTATTCCTGGTGTTAGTTGCATGGACATTAACAGCATTCGCTCCATGCCATCCCGGTCCCGCACCACTACCAACTCCAATCGCCTCCCCGTAATTCCATCCCTTGGTAACTTCTCCTGTAACACTATCCTTCCCACCCATTCCCCAACCGAAACTATTTGCACATCCTTGACTAGCAGCACATGCCCCAAAGGCACGGAATATGGTATCTGTGATACGCTGTGAGGCAATGGTAGAGCCGCAGATGGCTACAGAGCTGGTGGGATTCAAAATACAGCCTTTGGGGACGATGATAGTGATAGGGTTGAGACAACCTTGATTCAAGGGAATTTCGAGGTTGATCAAACACCTCAAGGCGTAAATCACTGCTGAGTGAGTAATGGATATTGGACAGTTCATGTTCCCTAGTGTTTGAGGGCCGGTACCTGTGAAATCGAAGATTGCGGTGCCTAGTTTGGCGTCGATGGTAATGGATAATTTTACGGGCGTACCATCGTCGTAGAAATCTACTGCGGTCAAAGACTCAGGATGTTTGACAGCAATTTCTCGCAGGTAGTTTTCGATGGCTACCTGAGCATTGCCTTGGATGGCATCCATATATCTATGGACAACAGGGAGTGTAAACTCCGAGCAGAGCTTGTTGAGAAGTAGTATACCACGTTGATTGGCAGAAATCTGAGCTTTTAGATCGGAAAGATTGTCTTCGATGCGTCTTGTAGCACTACAGCCTGGGAAATCTGCAGCAGCATCAAAGGCTGCTCGAATATCTTTCTCCATAAGAGTACCACCGCTGACAATCTTCATGGACCGGATATTGACGCCCTCTTCCCAGAGCTCTTTTGAGTCCGGAACCATGGAGGTAATCCCCTTACCGCCAATATCGGTATGATGGCCCCTGGATGCCACATAAAAGACAAGCTGGTTCTCGAAGAAAACAGGAGTGATGACGGTCAGATCAGGCAGATGGGTGCCTCCACATTCTGGATGATTCGTCAAAAGTACATCTCCTACCAGAAGCTTTCCATCCCATAACTTATGTTGGTGTTGGATTGCAAATTGCATACTCCCGAGATGAATTGGAATATGGGGAGCATTAGCTACCAATGAGCCGTCTAAGGAAGTTTTAGTACAGGCCAAATGTGTTAGTGAGAGAATACCCACCTGGCGAAAAGATGGCACAAGAGAAATCCAGTCTCTCCTTAATACTAATACTAATGGAAATTCTTTGAAGCGTGTTTCCCATCTGCTCAGCAATTGACATGAAACGATGGCCAAAGACCGAAAGCTGAATAGGGTTAATTGCTGTCGATTTCACTGTCCCAAGCTCGTTATTTGCTTGTTCTGTGACTCGATCAATGATAACATGATCAGTTGTCAAATAAGCACAAAATAATGACTCAACAAAAATTGTTTGAGTTTTGTCGATGATTAAAGCGGGGCCCTGTGATGTTAGTGGTGCTATGTTAATGTAAAAGTGGATTGACAAACCTCGATAATAGAATGACTGGAAAGTTCCTCAAGTTTATGGATTGGTACTGAGCACCACGATCCTTCAATATATACACGCTGCTGAGAAGCAGCAGATATTCGACTACCAGTCGTACGAACTCTCTCCAACTCTCTGAGAGGCGAAGAAAATACACACCTCCTATCCGAGCTTCCGATTCCTCGAACTTTGACAGCATCAACAATGACATCTCGACTAAGAGAAAATGCAAACTCCCGGAAATGAGTCGCAATGAAAGTCTCCCCGTACTCATCATCGGTCGGCTTCTTGATATCAATGTTGGTATCGGAGCCTTTATACCTCATGCTCAGAGATATTTCAAAGACTATCGATGACTCGTTAACTCCTTGAGATAGCAAGGATTCTCTGACCTGAGATTGTAAGGTGAATATTTTTCTCCGAATATCTGGTAAAACGTTTTTATTGAAGACACTTGCATATGGAGCAGAAGCCTCAGACTGTAATTGAGCCAGGGATATACCATATGCAGAGAGAATAGAAGAATACTTGTGAATCAGAACTCTCTTGATCCCCAGATTACTAGCAATAGCCGTAGCGTGCTGACCTCCAGCTCCACCAAAACTGACAAGATTATGTTGGTCTGGGACAAAACCTCGAGCTTCGGTTGCATTTCTGATAGGTCTACTCATACTTTCGTTTGCAATTCTTAAAAATCCAAGAGCCACATCTTCAGGCGTCAGATTTTGGTTGGATTGAGAATTGATTTCTGCGGTAATTTCTTGAAACTTTTCTTGAACAATCATTTCATCGAGCGGTTCATCGGCACCAGGACCAAATATGGATGGAAAGGTGGATACGACTAACCGTCCGAGGAACAAGTTGGCGTCGGTTATTGTTAGTGGTCCTCCTTTCCTATAACATGCAGGCCCTGGATGCGCTCCCGCGCTTTCGGGACCTACAACGAAGAGTCCGTTTCTTGCAAACAGTATCGAACCGCCTCCAGCTGCGACAGTTTGTATTGAAAGCATGGGAGTAGCAATAGTCCGACCAGCTATTTTAGCTTCTATCAGATGTTCATATTTGCCATCATATCGAGATATGTCGGTGCTGGTGCCGCCCATATCGAACCCAATGATGGCAGATTTTTCCTCTTCGTCATAACATGATCGGGCAATGCCAGCGACCCCACCTGCCGGGCCACTGAATAGTGCTTCATTGCCCGAGAACTTTTGTGCCTGTCTCAACCCACCATCTGAGCACATAAACTCTACTCTCTGGGGAAGAGTCTTAAATCCCAATTCGAAATTGTCCACGTAACGTCGAATTATCGGATACAAATATGCTTCAGAGCATACGGAAGTCGCCCTCCTCAACATTTTAATATGCGAACTTATCGTTGAGGATGCCGTGGCGAACTCAAATCCAACCTCTTTTGCAATTGACAGTACCTCCAATTCGTGATCTGGAAATATGTACGAGTGCATAAAGCATATAGCAACAGAGTTGTATCCCTCTTCTCGTAATTGAAGAAGGATCTTCCGAACTTCTTCAACATCGAGTTTCTGCAAGATTCTGATAACCTCCCCACTCGCTGTCCGAACCAATTCTGAGTCACCCAGGTCTCCAGAGAAATCTTTGGGGTTAGGATTCATGTCGTAATCTTCAATCGTCACTCTCTCATTTAATTCTACCACCTTCGAAAATAGAACGTCGGGTTTTTGGATATTGAGGTCGAACAACTCCGGCCGGGATTGATCCCCAATTTCGCAGACATCCTTCATCCCTATGCCACCGCTCAGCGAAACTCGTCATCAAACTTCGAGCATCACCCACCCTTTGTCGTAAGTAGAGCGAATCGCTCTCCCTTTCTTTCCAGCAGGGCATTGGTAGCAACAGTTGTTCCAATACGGCATGATTCTATAGCCGAGCATGAGCTTTCGTCCGATATCTAGGTATATCCTACCAACCAATCCTCGAGCCATCCAGTTTCTCCCGTACTGGTATAGATTTTCCTTCTGCGATTTCGAGAGCTCGACGAATGGCTTCGGTTGGCGCATCTTGGTAATTTTGGGGATCTTCGGAAAGGAGCTTAAATATGATGTCCTTCTGCCCCGCGATTTGGACAAGTGCGTCACAAAAAGTTCCACCACGATCTAAAACATGAAATAATTAGTTCATGTTACCAGGTGAGTGGCTGGTAGGATTTACCTATGGATATTCTAATATCTGGGATGTTGGCAACCATTTCTTCAGCTCAAGAGCAAACACAAGAGACAAGCAAAAAAAAGAAAGAAAAGAGAGACAGTTGAAATCACAATACTTCGGTTGATAATGACGTGCGTACACTTGCACGAGATCATGGCGATTCATGATATCTTCCACCCCAGCCCAAAATCACATAATTCTTTTACCATGGAGTCGGTTTTACATGGGCCCATCTTCAAAAATGTCTTGCTAGCGCGTCAGTCGGACTCAACCCGACGGCACAATAGCAGGAATGGGATGTGGGAACCATGCAAAGATGGGGGGTACGGGATAGGAGCTCGAGGAGTACCCTCTCATGGATACAGTACGAGTATGTAGGTGTGGATTTAGCGTCAACCCCTCAAACCCCTCCGTTTTCTACAAGGGTTGTTCATCGAAATGTCATCACTTATATGTGGCATCAACTCTGGGTAAAAGTGTCGATTTCGACCGGCCTATTGATTCACTACATTTATATCCTCAACGCCTTCAAAAACTTCCGGATCTTATCCAAAACCTCAGCGTTCTTCTCGATATGTACAGCATGATTTGCACCAGGAAAAACGACAAGTGTCGCCTTGGGAATACCATCAGCAATGAACCGTGACTGGTATGGACAATTGTCTTTAGCAAAGTCTCTTTTTGTTGGTTCAAAAAAGTCTTACCTGGAGTACAAATCCAATCTTTCTCACCAACTATCACCAGCGTTTCCGCTGTGATTCTGGGCAGCCTAACTCGATAGTCAAAGTACTTTTCATTTTCTGAGTACAAATCATCTGCGTTATGTTAATAAGCGAGTAAAGATAGTGTGCAAGGCACCCGTCTGGCTTACTGTGCGTTTTGGATCGATATACAGTCTGAAGGCATTTCTTAAGCGCTGCGTCAGGTTTGTACGATTCGCTGTACAAAGGCCCTAATGCGAACATGACGAGTCGGAATTCCTCATCATTTTTGAAGCTCCCAAAGACTCCGTCAACGAGCATTTCCCTTGAAGCACAAGGTGCGAGTGCCACTCTCTCTTCTAATGTACTCATTGCATGTTCATCATCTTGAATTTGTTAGTCTTGTTCGATCAAACTTTTGTTGGCATTCATACGATGATATGAAGGTGCTGTTCCTCTCAAAATGAGATGCGAGACCTTGGAGGAATATTCTATCGCGTACTGTTGCGCCAAATACCCCCCAAAACTCCCACCGCATAGCACAATTTGACTCTCTACGCCAGCAAAATGAATTCTCATAGCGTCAATGTCATCCACGATTTGCTTAAAGGTGTACGGTTCGGTTTCTGAGCTCAGCCCATGGCCTCGGAAATCGAATGAGAGTACCCGGTATTCGTCACTTAGAGGCGAATAAGCCTGGAAATCCGATTTATGATCACCTATGGCTCTCTGTCAGTTGAGTATTCCATTTCAAGTCCTAAATCTAGGAAGAGGGTCATCTGATCAGCATTGCTGAAAGTAATTGTAAGAGTCGCTCTTCTTAAGCTATTAGGTATTTTCATCAAGTATTAGCACAGAAACTCTCCACGGGCAAACCGGTAAATTGTCTTCTATTTTCTCCCCTTTTCTTCAAGCTCCTTCCGCGTCATAGAACTCAGGAGCGGTAGGTGGTGCAAGACAAGTGTCGTTAAACAGAGCTTTACAGCGAGCACTATGAACAATATTCGCTGTAGTCCCTCCTACATACTTCGACATGGTAGAGGTTCCTCGACCATCACCCTCGTTCACAAAACTGATATATTCCGACTCTTTACTTGGTTCATGGTGATTGAACAACTGAGGAGTGACAACCAGACACCTCAAATTCCCCATCACACACTGATGCTGCAAAGCAACATCCCAAGCCTCATCAGCACCACCACCTACGGCAGTAAGAACCTTCTGAGCACTACCCTTATTGAGGGCATATGCAAAAGTACAAATTGGATTCACAGCTTTCTGTATCCTTCGATGACCGGCTGGGATATCATTCATCCAATATTTCTTCGACCACCCCGAATACTTCTCAACATCGACCCTCGTATCATCCCTATACAGGACATTCATGACTTCCAAATTTGATCTCTCACCACAATGCCCAAGCCACAAAATATCCCAATTACTTCCATATGGACTCCCATCATTTCGATCCACATTCGTGAAATTACGAATATGAGTAGATACCAATTGCATCTGTCCCAAAATATCAACGTCCCAATCAACGTCATCTTCCAAAATCAAAGCACTCGACAACCCAGAAGCGATTACGAATTTAATCATATCGAGGTGTGCTAGCCATGCTAATGTCGATCCATACTTTGGTCTCCTTACACCCAGTTCTCCAGAACCGAGGTTTGCAAACGCTGCCACAATCTCTGGGGGGTCCAATGGTTGAGTTGGGATGGTGACATCCAGGCCTGTGAGATTGGCTGCGGCGAGGAGACCGATGGTTCTCCAGCCAGGCTGTTTAGACACAGTGAGGATCTTTTCAAACTTCATTGGAATATTAGTTCTTGAAATAAGCGTCAAGAAGAGGCTTCCACTCACTCCTAGAGTTCTATTTGATGCAGCATTATGGATCCGTGTTGTGGGATATGTGTTCCTTGACCACCATCCATATATGACTAAAATGAGCGGGATGACTACAACATGGAATTTGAGACTCGCTAATGTGCTGAGCCATGGTGGGGACATTGATTATGGATGCTGAAAAGTGTGTATACTTCGTTCCGTGCAATTGATTGATTTGGATGGATCCGACCACATCCGGAGAATGATCGTTAGAGTTTGTGAGACTTGGGAGTGAAGCGTGGGGCTTGTGTAACTGTGGCGGAAAAGAAAGTTTTTCCCAAGAACTAATCTAGTACTTGAGTTCCTCGCTTATTTACGGTCGGCCGAAATAGATCTACATCAATAGCTTATTTGGGCATGGTGCCCAACTGAGCCTAATAAAAGCCCCCGAGCCGAACATGTCTCGCTAGGGGAAAATATAATCTTTACCACATGTATGTGAAAGGGAAGAGTGTGTAGATCTAGGAACGTGCTTTTTCCATTGTTGAACACTCGCAAGGCCAAGTATTACTGACATGGCCAAGCATACATTTAAACCCCCCTCAATATAATAGCTAATGCTAGTAGAAAGGATAGAGGACGGCCTGGTCTGTATGGGAAATACTAGAGGACAATAAAAAGACAGACCCAAATCTAGACTGTCGGCAGGCACCTGCAATATAACAAACCATTGCTTGTGAGCCTCAATCAACAACAAACAGACCCCACTCAACTTTCATCAAGTCCGCTTCTATGCGAACTCCATAAATAACTTTTACCAAAGACAAATTACAATTTTGGCGATATTTTTGTTATATGCGGTCAAACAAATACACAATGGCTTGTGGCCAACTGCCCCCCTTTGACACATAACACAAAGACTCCGGGTATTGCCCCACAGTTATGCAAACTGCCAACAAAGAGCTTAGAATAGAAAAGTAGTATCTTTGTCCGTACGTTACGACATGCTATGAAGACAATGTGGTTGATTATCTTCTTTTTCAATCCTTTGTATGTCGAAAATCTGCTATTTAGCAGAACAGAACAATATGCCAGGCACAAATACCCTTGCTCGAGAAGAACTCGCAATGATTCTTCAAACAACTTCATCCTGCAATATTTCGAAAGATAAGACTTGAACTCTTAAATAGACTCACAAATACCAAACAGTAAGTACGGAAAACCCAAAATGTCTTGGCAACTACCTATTAACATTGCGAGAGTTTTCAAGAGAAAGGAGGAGATCGAGGATGATGAAGATGAGAGCTTTTATTGTATCGGGCTTCCGCAAGAGCGTAACCCTTCGCCAGTAGAAGGAGAGGAATTCGCTGCTGACAATATACCAGAGTCGAGGCCATTACCAGATCTGCCATGGGAGTCTAAACACGGCGGTACTCCTGCTCGTCCATTACGATCGGTCAGTCGTTTGAGTATTAACACAGTTTGAAGTGCAGGTACATTTGATCCTCGCACGACTGAAGTACATGTTCGCGCACCAAGACCATCAGCACCCGTTCCAACTCCCTGTCTCAAAAAGATGTCAAGAAAACCATCTTTGCATCATGGTCACTCTGCTGAGAGAGTTGCCCCAGATAATCTTCCAGACTTTTCCCTATCCAGCAGCAAACGACAAGCAGCCCGTCCACTTCGCTCTGTACGAGGGATGAGGATTGGTGAGAAGTCAAGGATAAATGTCGGCGAAGCAAACCGATTGAAGTTGAAAGAGATCTGCGCTGGCTATCTCTTTGAGCCAGAATCATCCGAGGACGAGAAAGAGCTAGAGCGCATGTTCCCTACGCCCACAGAGAACTCTTCCGAAATTAACCAAGAGGAGGTAAATCTGAACCGTTTGAAGGAAGCTCGCGAAAATATAACATTCCCAGAAGATTATCTCATCGAGGACCTGATCAACGATATAGAACAATCCATAGAATTAAACGCCTTGTCAGAGAATGATTTCTCTTCGAATGAGGCGGTAGGTAAGTCGACAGCTGAGGAGCCAGAAGCAACTTCCAAGTCCGAAACGCAAGTTGAGGAACAGGAGAAGCAAGAGAAGGTTGAAAGATACCCTTCGCCTGTACCTTCGTTGGAGTTCGAGCCAATGTTCCCGGTGACGGATTACCAACGTCGTCTAAGAGAGGAGACTCGCATAGCTCTTATTCCGACTGAGAGAAGGCGGGCGAGGGAGAGGGAGATAGCGCGCAGAAAGGCTTCAGTATGGTAACCGAGTTACTAAAGACCTCCTGCCGGAACCCAAAGCATACAAAATTGAAAGACATCATTAATTTTTCCGTAGAACACAGTGCAATATGTGAAATGATTTATTCGATGTGAACAAAGACGCAAAACTATCACGTAAGAGTTAACACGTTTTATTATACGTTTGAAATACCTATCTATTTACATTTATTATCGAGGCTCATAAAACCTTTTTTTTTTAATTCCGTTCAATACAGACCTGGGCACGATAACGATATTTATCGGATTATCGCGATATATTATTCTACGATTCCGATGTTAATCGTCCGAAAAGTAACGATATCGATATTTTATACCTAGAATTAGTATATTTTAGGGTGTTTTAAGGGTTTTTTGGGGGTGGAAGAGGGGGGATTCGGGGCTAACTTGAAGTTAAAGTAAGAATACGATTATTATCCCTTACTCCGTAACAAGCACACTGCCGGCAGGAACAGATTCTTAGCATTAACGTTAGTCTATTAGATTCGTATTTAGCCTACTACGCCCGTACACCTGAATTACTTAGTACTATATAAAAACACCTTGGAAACCAGCTAAAACGTATATAATCGATGATGTAATATATAGAATGTTGTCGCCTAGGATGAAAGTACGTACTCGATCGATAAGTATGTACTTTTTTACGTACTTTTCGTCCCCTGTTTAATAGCGCGATATATTACATGGACCCCCTGTGAAACACCCGGTAGTTATAGCACCGATTTTGTCCTATAGTAATTATGGTAGGTGCGGCACTAATCTAGAGTAGGTGTAGTACTAATCTAGAGTAGGTGCGACACCTACCTAAACTAGTGCTATACCGACCCTAATTACTATAGGACAAAATCGGTCCTACAGGTATAAAGTAACCTAAAAAACTAGTGTTATACCTACTTTATCCTACCTAAATAAATAGTATACCTATACCAAATTAGTACTTCTAGGTTAGTAAAATACTAACTTTATTAAAGTCTAGAAATCTAATAATTTTTACTTTTAAATAAAAGAAAAAGCCTAATTAAAACTAAAATTCCGTTAATAAACTACTATATATACTATAAGTATTCTCTCTCGCTATTGCCCTAAAACCTACTATTTAAATAAAGATAACTACTAGCTATTACTATTTTCGAGTTCTAGCCCTTCTTACTATCCCCTTAAGTAGTTCGCGCTACCCCTCTAAAACCCGGTCTTCCTATCGCTATTTTAACTACCTAGCTATTACTATTTTCGAGTTCTAGCCCTTTTCGCTATCCTCTAAAGCCGCCTAGTTATAGGTATCTAATAATAGTAATAAGGTTATTTACTATTCCTAGGCTAATTTATTCCTATAGCTTCTACGCGAGCTAGACTATCTATAGTTACTAGGATTACCTAAGCTTATAGCGTAATATTAGAACTCCTTCTCTAGTATATAGGGTCTTACTAGATTCTCCTACATTACTTAAGCTCTTTCGAATAATATCTAACTCTCTAAATACCTTTATCTAATTACTTAAGCTCTTATATAAGTAGAAATAACTATGTATTAATATTCTATAGGTATTGTGACGGTTCTCACTGCCACCACGCTACAGACCAGCCCTGGCTGGAACCCGGCGGCCACCATGCGTCAAACGAGCCCCTGGCTGAGACTCGGCTAAGGCATGGCCCTTGGCGCCACCTCCTGTATTTAAGAGCCTCTGGCTCTTGAGCTTCTGTCCTTCCTTCTCTTCTCTCCTTAGCTTAGAATCTTCGAATAGACAGTTCTACGATTCCATAACCTACACCTTGGACGCTCCTTGAGCAACATATCGTACGTGTCGTCACAGGTATAATAGGCTAGGAATTATAATTAATAGTAAGATGTTTTTACAAATAAAGCGTTTATTTAATAGTAGGTTAAGGTTAAGTAAAATTATGGGTATTATATTATACTACTTTTACTTAATAATCTAGGATCTATTAAGGGTTATTTAAAGTATAATACTATAGTAATAACTTATCTCTTAAATAATCCTACTTCTCTTATTAATGTAACGAATACTCAAACTGGCTAACTAAACTTGGCTGGGTGTTCGCTGGTTGGTATGCTATGATAAGAAGAAGACTATCGGGTTGTTCACTTGGAAGTGAACTCGTTACTTGTATCAAAGATGTCAAACTAATATGATAAGATTGATAACTAAGTTGAGCACGAAGCTCCTATCTAATGGCAGACATGCCAGTCTTATATAGAACCTTCGTTCTCCAAATCCCAAATGTCGACAGCGCGCTCGTCGTGCTGTCGCGCGCGACAATTCGCTTGTCGCGCTGTCGCGCTTTTTATCACGTGACTATGAATGCTATGAAATCCTTGGATACTCAACAACCCTGAGTAACCACTGCTATGATATAACTACTCTGGATGTATCTGTCCTGTTAGAACGCCGTTTGGACTAACTCGTCACATGCTAACACGTGATTCGTGACAGAAGGTTAGATATATTCTAATCTACTAGGCTATAGATCTAGAATGCCTTACCTTTAAATTAAGTTTAGATTATAGTATAAGACTCTTTGTATAGGAGTTATAGATACTAAACAGAGGTATTATAGAAGAGGGGAGCTAAGTCTTTTAAGAGTATTAGTAGTATAAGGTATTATCTAGCTCTTAGTAGGTTAGTAGTTATATAAGTATTTATAAATACTTAGAGTTTCTTAATAAAGTTATCTCCTACCTTACTAAATCTTTGTTTATCTTAAATAAGCTTACTAATAGATATAAGAGTATAGCTAAAGTTATAGGATAGTCTTAGTATAGTTATTATTTATACTTCTCTACTAATAGGAGTAAAAGAGTATAATCTATTAGCTAGTACTATAGGAGAAAGTTAGTATATATTAGACTGGTCTCTTAGGAAGGGACCCCTTAGTAGTAGAGGTAGTATAGTTATTCCTTATATATCCTTAGGCGAGTCGGACTACTTAATATCCTCTATAGTTAATAGTAGTTCTAGGGTAAGAGATTTATAGTTATATTCTAGGCGGTTTTTATTCTTATATAGGGTATAGTAATTTTCGATAATTATTCCTTTATATACAAGCTTATTTAAGTATTTCTTATAGTATTAAATAATTAAAGTTACTATCTTTAAGTCTAAGTTAATATAGGTCCTAAATAGCTCTTTTATATTTATATATATCTATATATACTTATATTAGTATTAGAGGTATTTAAGGGTAGAGTCTAGGGCTATCTTTTAAAGACCTACTCTAATAGGAATTATATAGACTCCGTACTTATAAAGTATAGTATAGAGGACTATAATATTAGATGTTAATATATTAGACTAGTATATTTTACTCCATCCTTTGAAGTCTTCCTTAAATATATACTAGAGCTTATTATTAATAAGGTCTTCCTTATAATCCTTAATCTATTTTTTAATAAACTTATTATTAGTCTTAGATTCTAAGGCTAGGTTGTTTATATTATTATTAAGGTATCCTAGTATAGGTACTAGTATATTAGCTCTTAACCTTATAGATTTTAATATAGTATTATAGTAGAATACTAGAGTTAATATAGAAATAAGGGTAGTAGGTAATAGTAAGTTTATATATATAAATAGGTAAGGAGAGCTATAAAAGTAGTTATTACTTACTAGTAGAATAATAGAGTAGTACTAATATAAAGGCTTATATAGTAGTTAGGAAACTAGGGTTATTTATTAATATAGGAGTTATTTATAATAATAATAGTTTATTAGTAATATTCTTTATTAATCTTATAAAGATATATATAAAGAAGAGATTCTTAAAGAAATAAACTAAAAAGTATATATAAAAGTATTATTGTTTTAAAGTATTCCTAGGTATTATTTATTCTACTATTTTAGAGTTAGGTGTCACGAATCACCTGCTCACGTGATACTTGTCATAATAAGAGGCGCAACCCTCGACAGGCACATCCAGGTTTCTTATAGCAAATAGGGATCGTTTGGAGTAGCTAAGCGATCCAGGGATTTCTCTGTATTGTTATCACGTGATATATGTCGCTAGACGGGGCGACTGGTCTACCAGTCTAGCAGCGACCGAGCGACGAGTCTAGCAAGCTAGCACAAGAGAACGAAGGTTCTATATAAGACTGGCACGTCTGCCATTAGATAGGAGCTTCGTGCTCAACTTAGTTATCGATCTTATCATATTAGTTTGACATCTTTGATACAAGTAACGAGTTTACTTCCAAGTGAACAACCCGATAGTCTTCTTCTTATTCTAGCATACCAACCAGCGAACACCCAGCCAAGTTTAGTTAGCCAGTTTGAGTATTCGTTACAATATTATAGAAAACTTTCTTTTAGCTATATAGTTAAGTATACTATCTAATACTACTTAGATAAGAGTAAGATAGGAATAATAGTATTTATTAAGAGGGTTTATACTTAGTACTATCTAGATTTTAGTTTATATTACTATAAAAGGCTATTAAGTATAATAATAGTAATTAATATAGATATTATCTTTAGTATTATTAGTAGGATTTAAATTAACCTAGAACCTTAAGGTCCTAGGAAATAGTATTTTATAGTTAGAGGTTAGAATATAGAGGGGAGGAAGTTGTTTTCTCTTAGAGAATAATAGTTAGTTTAAATATAAAGACTATTATACTTTATTTATTTATAGAGTCTTTATATAAATTATAGATTCTTTAGTATTGAGGTTCTTTATTATACTTACTTTATTTATACTTTTGTAAGTATAATAATTAGAGTAGAGAAATAAAAGTAGATTAATTACTGATCCTTTATTACTAATCTTCGCTTAGTAGAGGATCATAAAGTATAAAATCCGAAAAGTAGAGACGTCTACTTTATAGTACCTAGATCTCTACTTTTAACTACTTAATTAGGCCTATATTCGAAATTTTCGTACGTGTACGAGAATCTCTGCCACCGAGTTCCTAGAGGGGATACGCTCTAGATCTTCAAAAGAAGGCAAGGGAACGACATTATGATTTTGATTCTGCTTTTGATTTTGATTTTCCAATTGCTGCGACAACTTGGCAAAAGATTCGTCATTTGATTGCAAGCGTGAAGTCGGTGTAGAGAAATCTTAACTCTAGGTAGACAAACGTCAGTAGGGACTTGCCAGGCCAAAAGAGGCGGGGGTTGGGACAGCGCGGGAGTGGGGGCAGGCCAATCTTACCTAGGTATCATAACTACCTGATAAGAGAGAGCGATGAAATTGAACATACATTTGCTTGGTATGGCTGATCCGACGATTTCGGTTGCTGGAGTCGCATACTGATCCAGCCTTTCTGCAATTAGAACAAATCGGCTGGACTCTATCACACCGAATCTTTCGCATACGGCACTGACTACAAGCTGGCGCTAAGGCGGTAGAAGCATTGAGAGACAGATTCTGGTCCTGGTGCTGGTCCTTACCGGACTCGGTCTACTTGTCGTTGCTATCTGGGGGTGGTAATTGAAGTGACATGGTGCTACCTGATTTCATCGTAGGTTGGTGTCGATAGATTTCAAATTCGGAGCGAACTCCCTACTCCGATGAAAGCAAATGCAAAAGCTGACTGAACTGCACCTACGTAAGATTTGGATCCCCTGTTTAGTAAGGAGTAGATACGGATTTAGGGGGGCTGTTCTCTAATGCCTGTCATTACAGTTGAATATTATTGTTAGGTTGGTTCTAATACTTAAAACTATAAGGAGTCCTCGCGGATCAGGCTAACATCCTTCCATGCCGTCCTTATCCGTGATAGGGCTCAAATATGAGATCCTAAGGAGAAACAAAGCTTATACGATAAAACCGCGTAAAGCGTGTCATCCGTTATCAACGGTCACGTGATATATATATATATATATATTACTTTCTTCGAAGCCACAGCTCTTAAGCTTGCCCTTGTCGAAATTATTCAATGACTTAATAGCCCTGCTAATTCTGTATGTAACGAGGCTCTTTAAGGGTTTTAATCGCTTCTAGTACTAAATAGTATATAAGACTCCCTTACTCTCCTACGGCCTTCACGAGGTGACCTTTTCAGCCAATCGTGCTCGTATAAAGTAATATGAAAATTATACCTCGAACAATATATGATCAAAAGAGATTTACTATGATATACTAGAAGGAAAATCCGAGTTTACATAACTCATTAATGTCGATAAATATTGTTCAGAAGTAACAAATTGTTAGACCCGAAATGCGAAACCTATGCATCCGTATAAGTTAAGGATAAGTAAGAATTACTTACCCACCACATACGACAACAGACTAAGGGGAATTGGGCATCCGGTCCTCTCCGCTCTGTCATACACAAACCAGTATTTGTATGGGTGGCCACCAGCGATTACCAGCCGTTGTATGTTTTTGTTGATTCTCTGACGTATTTCCCTTGGGCAGCGAAGAGTGGGCTTATACATACATACATCTACTCGTAAGCGAACGAGGAACGAGATTGAATAATAGTTGTGCCGAAAAGCATATTCAAATTTGATGATCGGCATTGATAAGTAGACTTTGGGCCAATGTATTTTATATTAGAACTCGTTAAGGGCAGTGAGTGATACGCTATTTGTAATTTCTAGCTGAGAGCGCATGAGAAGAAGAGAGAGAAAATTTACATTGTGAAGCAGTCATCTTTCGAAAATTCAGAAATGAAAGACAAAGCAATGTTGCTCACCTAATATGCGTTAAAAACTAACACAAAAACCCCACTTTTAATTTACCAGATAAATCCAGGGTTTTTCTGTTCACTCCCTTCGTTTAGGTGTTTTGGCGGACTTCAGCGGTTGGCTCCAGGGGTTCTCATTGGAGAGCACATGACGTTTCGAGTTTTGATTGGAGCGATTCTCGGGAAGCCTTGGGGCCTGGTGTTTTTTGGTACCTCCCTTGACTAATTGCCGTTCGTTCAACAGCCAAAGTTTAAATTGTCCCGACACTAAAGCAGCATATCCATGTCTTATTCTGTATGGTTACGTCTTTATTTTCATCATACGAGTACATCTAGATTCGGCACGAATATCTACACTTCACGAAAAGATTGGCGCCAAGTTTGGAACACGAGAGTATGATATAACGTAAAGTGTAAGTCGAGAATTATGAGTACAACAGTTCCCTTTTTTCTTTTTCTGTGCTCAACAGGACCCAAGAAGGCATTTAAAATTCATCATGCGTTTTTCTTTGATATTTTCACTTCTTTCCTTGGTCGGCTTATCGATTCAAGAAGATTATAGCAATCCACTGAAAAGTTCCCAAGGAAGCGACCCCTTCATCGTGACTGATCTCGGCTACTACTATCTCCTGACGAGTACTTGGTCTGATGTCCAAATTACCAGGGCCAAAACACTGGAGGGCCTTAAGACAGGCGAAAAGAAAGTCGTCTACAGGTCAGAAGAAATAATCCGTTGCTGCTATCTATGGTCGCCAGAACTGTGGAAAATCGACGGTGTTTGGTACCTTTACTTCACCGCGGGAACCAAGGAGAGTCTTGATGGTCAACGTGTTCACGTTCTTACCGGGGGAAAATCTCCGTTCGACGATTTCACCTACACAGCCCAATTGACTCCCTCATGGGGGATTGATGCCACCATTTTCAGGACCCCAGAAAAGAATTATCTGGTCTGGTCCGGCATAGCAATGTGGCAAAGTCTTTTTATCGCAGAACTTCTAACGCCTTCCACTATTACAAGTCCCACTCTCCTCTCCGAGCCAACGATTCCTTTGGAACAGGTTCAAAACCCAGTCAACGAAGGACCAGCAGCCCTTTACGCTGGCGGAAAGAGTTATTTGACATATAGCGCAAGCGATTGTTGGACAGCCGATTACCAGCTTGGATTACTGACGTGGGATGGTGTTACCGATCCACTTCGTGCTGATGCTTGGACGAAGTCTGGCCCGGTAATGAATTCTGCGAATGGAAATTATGGTACTGGACACAACGGATTCTTCACTTCTTTTGATCAATCTGAGACCTGGATTGTCTATCATGCTACTTCTAGGCCTTCTGGAAACGTGAGTTGAGAACTTCCTAAGAAAATTTGCTTGAACAAAGCTGACTAGTCTTAGTGTGGTGCCCAGCGATATACGATGGCACAGAAAATGAACTTTAACGGTGAAGGCGCGCCTATATGGCCTGTAATTGCGCCACCTTTGAACGCAACACTCCCAGGACCAGCTGGAGAAGACATAGAATTACATTAGACTCTAGTGACTGGAAGACAACATTCATTTCAGTCAACACGCTGCGATCAATAGACACTTTAGAAATTTGCTGTATCACGAATCAACACAAACAGCATGAGTTGTATTCCACAATAATGACAAATCAACGATTGGAAGATTGTGCAACCTCAGCTAACCCATCCCACTCAACAATCTTGTTCCAGTATCTCTCTCTATTTCCATCCCAAATTGCCTTGAAACATCTTCGCAAATTTTCTGGAATCGATTTTCACCCCCTTCTCATCGACAAATAGTGCCATCTGGCCGCACCTGCCCACATGCCCTGGTCCGGGTGGCGGGATCAAATTCCAATTTTACAAGTGGAGGGATAAGAACGGAGACGATGCAGAGTCCAATAACACCATACTTCTCTCGTGCACATTTTGATCACTTTCTTCGCCGTTGATAGATTCAAGTTTGGCGACGGTGTAGGGATTTGATTTGTGGAAGACCGCACGAAGAATGTGTTTCTCAATAGGTTGGTTGGGGTAGAGTGTATTCCTTGCTGGGGTGATGGAAGAAGAATTCCATGGGCGTCTATACCTTTATATAATAACAGGTCTTGGGATCTGTACTACGTATCTGCTGAGATTATCGGGGTCTGAAATCCTGTGTTTCTATGTTTCCATTCAGTATCATTCAGTTGTGACGTGGTTTGATAGGATAACGTGAGACGCGTGATAGCATAGTGAATTGGCAATGAGTTGAAATCACTCGTCAGAGTGAGTTTAAACAATCCCACAGAACAGCTTTAATGCATTAATGAGGAGCTCAAGTTAAGCTTCAGCTTAAAAGGGGGCAGAGAAATTCAAAGCAATATCTTTTGATTCACATGGAGTGTTTGAGGTGGCATCATAAAAGCCTCACCTGGGAAAACAATCAGAATTCTTGTTGACAATTGAACAACCACTTTATCAATAAAGAGACAGCAATAATATTTTGCAACAAGCTCTTATCTGACTCGTGGTTAGGTGTTGATTCTTCTTGGTTTTACGTATATGCTGTAACTTTTCAAAGATGCTGAATCAAACAAACACTGCTGGCATACACACCACACGTCTTGTATACTTCTTACACATTCCAGTCTGGAAAATTAGGGGGACCTGAAGAGTAATATTGGTGGATGTTACAGATTTTCCCTCACAGTTGGCTAGTTTGAAGAAGACGAAGTCGTCAATATACCGACTATCAGGTCATTGGTAATCTTACTGAGCCAGCAGCGTTCGCTAAAGACTGATTGTATGCGCCTTGAATTTTGGCGCCAAATATCACTAGCAGCATACAAGACTGTGAGTGCTGCAGCCTTTGGATCCATCGAAAGGAGTATGTACAAGGAGTGATTCTCGGGATTAGTGAAAGATGAGCCCCAAAAGATGAGCCGAAAAAGTGCTGTTGAATTTTTGTGGCGGAGGTTTGGCACAGTTTTTCAACCGCTTGTTACCCCCGCCGTCACTTCTAGGGGGGAAAGATGAGGAGTAGTAGATTCTATTTAGAGATGGATTGTGCCTTCTATCTCTATGTCTTTTTGGGTCTTGGCGTTGGGTAAAGTAAGTCTTTTCTCAAATCCTCGCGACTAAGGTAGTCGAGTTCTGGACTAAGACGGAAGGACGATATTGTTAATCTGCTCGTTCGGGTATCTTTGAGATGAGCCATTTGCTATATGGTAGGCTTGAGTTGCGAGAATAAAACGTTGTGAAGGGTCGAGTCAATCTGACGAGAAGGAACGACTTCTATCACTTGCGCACCCTAGCCACAGTAGTAAGCTTTTGTAGCTTCAACTGGTTCAAGCTAAGCTGAAGCCAACGGCTGATTAGAAGGCAGATAGATTGTGGTCCATAAGTTGAGGTCGATGCAAGGCACGAAGCAGCAATTCCTTGGACGAGTCTCCATCTTCACAGTGTTCTTTCGTTTCACATCATTTTCAGAACCTTACAAGTCCTGAAACTAACCATGTAATCTCGGAAGACATCCATATCATAGAAAACCATGGGGAAGAAAACTGCTACGCGTTTGATCAATGCCTGGATATAAGTCCGTGAGTCTCAAAATGACTTTCGCATCCATGTACAAGCCAACATAAGAACTACCGTGGTACATGAAAATAGAAGCATCAGAAAGGGAGCGAGAGTACTGCTTCTCAGACCGCCTTCCCTTGCGTACATTAGCTTTCCATCACAGAGCACACTCTCAAACAATCTTCAGCTTTCCCTGGCTCTCCCACAAGAATCCTGGTAGAGCATCGGAGGTGTCCTCCCCTACTGTTGCAAAGTTGTCTCCGTACTGTTGCATGGAACACCAGTTCTTTGCGCGTACTCCAAGCTACCGTGGAATCATGATAGCACGAACCTCAAAACATATTAGCCAAGGGATAGGTTCAAAAGGAATGTATCGAGCTTTGACATTAAGGCCTGTGAACAATGGCGATGGCAGTTAGTTGCAAATTTCTCACCCCTTGAGGGAAACGTCAAGCCACCAACGTGGAGTAGGTAAGCTGAATATCTGATTCATCACTAGCGCCAATTTTGGTAAGTTCTAAATTGAAAAATAGTTCATCTATATATAACCTACCAAAATATGGTTACCCCATGGAAATAGCTTTATTCGTTCGCAATTGCGTTACTTACCCGTTTCTCTTCTCGATCTGTGTCCACTCTACGGAGAGGACTCGATTTAAAATTCCGTACGGTATGAGATGAAATGCACAAACACCCAGCTCTCGTAGACCCACGGAATAGCGAAATAGTACCGGTACCAGAGGCTATAGAGCCATTTACTTCCACTGCGAGCCAGCCTTACAACACCATCACTCGCATCCACAATTCCCAAGTTCAACATATGATAAACACATCGCAAACAACATTCCCCATTTTCCCAAACATTCACCAATCCAGACCCAGGCAAAATTACGCGAATCGCAGAATCTTGGTCTCCCCAAAAAAAAAACCGTCCATACCACCCTACCTACCCCACAATACCAAACTCCGCCGCTGATCACGACCCAGAACCCGTTCCCACAACATCCCTCCAAGCCCTGCCATGGCATATGCACCCATCTCAAGTCCCCACGGCGCAGATAACGGGAGGGTATTACCCGTCGGAGGAAGGTCTTCCACGTCACGTGTGGTAAACCCCAACGTTACCATACATAGTGTTGAACGCAATGATACATTCCACACCCACCTCTACCAAAGTACGGTCGTACGTCGACAAGACCGTAAGGCGTGAAGGCATATACCGTACTGTATCGCAAAACACGCAAAGGGGGACGCGGGAAAACTGATACTGTACTGACCAAGAGACAGGCCTGGCTGGCTGGCTGGCTGGCTACCCCGCAATCCCCCCTCTGCCGTGACACTGACTGAATGACACCCCACTACCACACCCACCGGTCTGCTGATCATCACGATGATAAGTGAGTGATCATATGCAATTGATGTTTCCCGTTCTACAAGTCAGCCGGTGGTTAGGCTCAAAGCCGGGGATATGTGCGTGCTCTAAGGGGCTAACAGTTAAGCGAGAAGCTCCGCAAGCGTAGAAAGACAGACAGTCAGTTGCGTATAACACAAAGATGCAAATGAGTAAACATGAAATGTGAATGTATCAAACTCTATAAACGTCCAACTCCAACCCCATGATGCTCTCGTTACCACACTTGTTACATTTACATTGATTCCACACATGACTCCAGAATACTAAGCACCTGAGAAACCAAAAGATGTTGCCGTATATACACGAAAATCCAACCCTGCAGATCTCATTATCTTTCATGCACCAACTATCCGCCTGCACCTGTTTCCAAGCCCCAACACTTCATGACATATAGGAGAGAGCTTTATACAAAAGAAAAGAAAGGTATCAATTCCCGTAAACCCTAGATTTTGATCCCCAACCAAAGCCCCCATCCCCTCATAACGCGAGAAAAGGAATAAAGAATGTACAAATGTATATAGAACAGTTACTCCAGAACCCCGCGCATCCGATATCGCATATCCATCCATTAACAGTGCTGTAAGAAAAGAAAGAGAGCAAAAAAACATGGGATATAAAAACAGGAATGTCCATCCTGGTGTGATGTTGAATATGAAAATGAAAACACAACCTTTTCTTGCCCCAGTCCCAGGCCAGCATTTCGTTAGCTAGATGATATTCGTGATACTCATCCTCTCAATCCCCTTCCTCTGATCCCGTGCTCCCATGTCACTCCCAGGAGGCGGACCATAGCTTCTCACATTCCCGTACCCGGATTGCTCCCTAATCAAAACGCCCACGAGATACTCAACGCGTTCCCAACCTCCCCAATCCCGCGCTTCACTATCGCTTAATACCGCGGTCCCCTCCTCCCTTCCCCCCCCCAGTAAAGTAGGACTTGGGCCAGCTAGAACGGATTTTGGTAGCATGCCAACATTCATCCCTGTCTCGCTCCCCATCCAGACCCAACTATTCTCAGGAGACGCTTGTGCGTCTCCAGAAACGTAGGCGAGAAGCTCCTCGTCCATTTCTCGGGGATAGCCTTTCCCACCCCCGGCTCGACGCTTATCGATTAAGACACCGAGGAAGAATGAAATATTGCGCCCGCATGCTACATTCACGTCCCGAAGGGTGGCGATGCTTGAGGAGGCTCGGATACAGGTTAATGCTGCGTCGTAGTGGCCACCAAAGAGCAGGAATAGAGTACATCGCCATATGTGGGTGCAAGTCATGGCATTGGCGGTAGGCCCAAAGGGAGGCGTGGAAGGGTTTGTGGTGGTTGAAGAGGCCATTGCTCGGGCGAAGAGGGTGGTCGAGTCTAGTGCTGCTCTGATACACTGTTCGACTGCAGCGCCCCTTACTTCCAGGGGACAGGAGGTGGTGAGGTTATGTCTGTGCAAGACTAGTCGTGCGTTCATGAGATGGCAAATTGGCGCCAGCATCCTTGGGTCGAGTGCCTCGTTTGCGGTCAATTGGCATGAAGGTGGGAAAGCGGACATGCAAGAATTGAAGTGAGTGTCGAAGGTCGCGAGCGTTGAGGGGGAAATCTTGGGCGATTTTAGGGTTGTGATTAGTTGAGAGATACAGCGCACAACATGGATGATCGGTATGATGAAGTTCGTGACAGGCGGTACACCATTTGGAACCATCATGCCCGTGTCGTGTATATAATGGTCGTCAATTGCTGCCGGCAAGCCAACGTCGCAATCCACATCTTCGATCAAAAGAGGTCGGCCCAATTCCAAAGACATGTGTCGATCCCAAACATAGATACCCCACCACACTCTTCTTCGCATCTCCCCCTCGATCATAGGCCATGGTCCAGTTTCCGAGTGAAGTCCAATATCCTGTGATATTCGCACAGCTGAAGCAAGCCATGTCCAAGCCGCGGACTTCAAGTTCATTTCGGCAAGGAAAATACTTGTGAGGATCGCGGCTCGAGCATGATCGATGACAAACTCGTCGTTCCACATATCTATCAGAGAGCGCGATATTTCGATAAACTCCTTCCCTTTGTGCGGACGGTGTATACTAGGCTCTGAGCTAAACAAAACACCAACAGCCAAGACTGCAAAAAGAAGCGAGCTCCAGACGGGCGGGAGACCATGCAGACTTCCTGTCTTGTATACTGCTTCGTACTCCTGTTCAAAAGTCGGCCAATGAAGAATGGGGGTTATCATGTGCATAGACGAGTAGTAGGAGTGGAGTAGGTGATCGGCTACATATTTTGGTGGTAAATCCGGGCGAGGGGGGTTGAAGTGGTCTTGGATCCCAATTTGTCGGTAGGGAGCTGGAGGCTTAAATATCCCGCGACCAAAATTCCTGATGTTTTGGCGGACGTGAGAAAGATCGTGAGGGGGTGGAGGTCGATGTTTTCTTTTGGGGTTTGATCCAATTTCTGGCAGTGTTAGGGCTATGCCTTGAAGTCCTTCGCCGTCAATCCCCCTTTCGGACTCTCGCAAATTCAAAATTGAGCGCAATTGCGAATTCTCTCTCTTGACTTGACTGATCTGTTTCTCTAGGTCCTGTACTTGCTTGATGGAAGACATTCTGCGATTGGTCTCTTTAGTGAACTGGCACTTGACATTCCTGCTGGAACATTCTGAACAGCTTGTCGTCTCTGTTGCATCGCATTTGACTTTCCGCTCTCGACAAGCGTCACAGCTAGGATCTTTCCTCCGTTGCCTGTAGGCCCTTTTTTGCGCTTGCATACTTGCGCTAGATATCTGCGAACCTGCTGCACCGGAAGTTCCACCTGAAGAGACAGTCGAGGCAGCCATCGAGTCCATTCCAGAAGGCCCTGGAGAGGCTGCGGTCGAGCTATATGGATTTTGGAATGAGCTGTGACCCATTGGGTGGTTTATATGCGGAAGAGATTGTCCGCTCATTGTTCTGGGGGAGGCTCCCATAAGTCCTCCTTCATATCCACTCTGCATTCGAGGGGAAGCAGCGGACGAGACGGAAGAGGAATCATAGGAGCCCGTAGAAGGTATCGGAGACCTCGAATAGGTGTTATGTGAAGCCCCCGCCATTTTACAAGGTCCGAGCTGGGTGATTATCCAGATGGAAAGTAACAATAACAGTCTGAGACTGAGAAATAACCAGAGTTGAGGTCAAGGCGGGCTCCAAGAGCCTTTCCTCATCAGCACCAAAGAGTCCCCGCGTTACCAGGAAACCAGGAAACTAGAAAGGGCTAAACCCCTTCTCTGATGCTGGATCTGGTAATATCAAAATAACGGATGATGAGTGGTCGCCAAAGACGTTGTGTTAGTCAGAAGACCGAGTCTATGTCAATACTTCTCCGGATTTTGGCAGCGGTCTGCAGTTTTGTGCAACGGTAGGGCTGTGATGTTCCAATGCAGGTCTTTAACGTAGTTGGGCGAGACTCGACCCCACTCAGTAACCACCGCACCAGATGTCGGCAGGTGATCCGGGAGGCAACGAAGTTCGGATCTGTGACCGGTGTTCATCAGCGAGGGGCGTGAGGAGAGGCTTTCGTTGGCTGGGCAATATATGAATATGGGCGACGCAAGAACATTGGCGCGGTAAAGATAGGATGGGAAAGGAAAGGAAATATGCCGCCAGGTCAGTTTTGAGAGGGAAGGAATAGGAATGGGAATGGATCTATGTGAAGAACGAGCCACGGCCACGACTACGTTCATAGGTGCGGGTTGTTCCAGGAGGGGGTATATGACGGAAGCGTGAGCATTGGCCGTCCCCTTTAAGGCTGATTGGGAAATCTGGAGTATCTTATTGCCAAGCGTGGGCACACAAGCATCTGAAGCAGAAATCTTTGGCGTTGCTGCTTGCAATGCCTATGGGCCAGTCCCCAGTCCCCAGTCCCCTGCCCTGCCCTGCTACCCGAACACCCCAGTCGCTCCGAGAAAAGATTCAAAAAGCTCCAGGGACGTCAGGGGAGCGATGGCGACGATTGTCACGATTCCGTCCAACCCTGCGTTCCTGCCATGGACTCCAAAATAGTGGTGGTCCTCAATGCCCACAGCGACCAGGACAGGGGCTCCCGCTTGCGTCGAAACCCTGGGGTGCGTCCACATTCTCTCCGAAGCAGCAGGAGTTCTTGGTACGTACTCGTACAGACATATTTACTGTACCATACGCACAGCAAGTTTGCAACTGCGTCGTCCCACTGCACTGCTCAACGCCGGGAAATGGTTCACCTCGACACTGGCCGAGTGCGTCAAAGAAGAGGCTGCTCGCTTCGCTTAGGACTGATGAACCCCTTGGGGTTGTGTAGCTCCGGGGAATAGGAAATATAACAATGCCATTCACATAAATGAGAGAACGTACCGGGAAGCCTCACGACCTGTTTCACCGTTTCAGCGGAGTTCGGATTGTGGCGGAGGGTAGGCGTCTTTCTTTGCATATGTAGGTCTGGAAATCCAACCCGTTCGGGTACACGCTGCCGTGAGGGTTCGGGCCGTTGATAGGACAGCAAGAGATTAGACGTGGTCTTCTTGAAGTTGAAGTAGACCTGTGATGCTGGATTTGGTTTGTCTCCTCCGTCCGGGGAGATGAAGGCCGTTTGTCGTTCTCGTATTCCCCGTATCTCTCTCTCTCCGGCAATGCTTCAGAGTATGCAGTGCCAAACGTTCTGTAGTGAGCCTCGTGGTGTTACGCCAGTAATGGGTGGAAAGGAGTCCAAATGCTACGCTCTGCGGTCAGGTTGCATCAAGTCGAGGAACAGGTGATACCGTTCTGGGCCCCGGTTTGCAGGAGCGTAGTTTCTGGGACTGATGATATCGGCGATCGGATAAGAGATGACTGCAATCCTTGACAAAATCCCTAAAACAAACGGAGGGATGTCTCGATGGCCTTTGAAGAGAGCAGCATGTCGTGCTCAGCAAGATCAGGTAGATCGCCTGTACATGATTATGGCATGCAGGGTTGATGTCGATGGTGTTGGTTGTATCTAGTGAGGATGGAGTAACTGTATTGGCGATATTTCAGGAGAACTTAGAATTGCTGTCAACCGGGACAAGGGCGACACGAAGACAAGATATGGTTCTAGCTTGTTCATTGATGCCGGCTCCTACCAGCATCTCACGGATATGTGAGTAAAAAAGGGCCAAATAAGGCAGTTGATTAACATTTGCTCGCGTTTCACCCCCCAAGCTCTTGACCATTTCCTTTTTTACGTTGCGGCGATGATGCAGAGCAGAGCCTTCTCCATCGTGCCGGGAGAGGAGTTATGGCATTATCGGATAGTGGACATCTAGTCAGGAAGGACGACGGTCGTCGCTTATCACCAGTATAGGAGGAGAAATGATCCAGAACCAGCCGTCTCGACTTTCAAGCCCGCCCAAAGGAATCAGGCAGTTTCTGTTACACCCATCTGTCGAGCTCAGTCGTACAATATCTGTGGCTTGTAGGTCGATCTACGATTGTCTCATTCCTCAATCCCAATCTCAATCAGACAAAAAGAGAGGCTGCTGCTGCTGAGCAGCTGCGATCCGAACTTTGAAGTTCACCACCAGCCGGGTGCTGGGCTGGACTGATCCTCGTCGCCAAAAGCAAGTCCGGATCGTGGGGTGGCTCTGGCTCAAGGGGCCTCGGGCGGTCCGCGTCAGTGTTTCAGGAGGACAGATACACAACGGCAAGCCTGTGGAAACACCATAACCAGACAGGGAAACTCCGACTGGTTCCTGTCGGTAGATGTGGGGTGAAGCGAGGGGGAAGGGAGGGGGTACAATCCGACGGTAGGAGGTGGCTTGCTTGGTGTTATGAAATACTGACATGCTCTGCACGCGTGGGAAAGATGCACCGAATATTCGCTGGCACACCACAAGTCGTCTCCGAAACTTGTGATGCCCAGTAGGAAGGTCGCCCCCTTTTCACCCTGCGCACCGCATAAAGTGTGTGGTGGAAACAAGGCACAGGCGTTGGTTGCACTACAGGGCCTGGGACTTTTGCCGAATTGACTTCGAGTCTTGACTATTCAAGGCGTCTTTTCCAGCTTCTCATTGGGGTTAGGAAAAGTGGCGGGGATTGGTGGGAGGGAGCGGTTCCTCTTCATTAGTCTCTCACCTCAGTCGTCATGGTCTCCGAAGCATTACTTCTACCAATCATTTCAAGATATGTGTTTTGCCTGGTATCAATACCGACATTGACTGCTTCGTCAGGTTTGAGTAAACAATAAACATACCATGTTCTCGCCTGACTCTTCGGCAGCCAGACTGCCGTTCTGTTCTTGCATCAGCGTGGCTTTCTGTGCATGCAGAAGATGAAGGCGGTGAAACTCTCGACACAGATATCACCACTACTATTGCGCTCTTCGGTAGGCTCAAGTCGCTGGCAAAAGTCCATCTTTTGCCAAATGCAGTTGTATATTAGATTAGAACATCTGATGCGAACATGGGACCACAAGAACACCCTCTCTGAATTAATCAAAGTCCTCTCAATGGTAATGAGAACTGGCACGTCCCTACCTTTGGTTCTGTCCAAAGCATTGGAGAGGTTTGGCTTTGCGGTAACCTACCTCTGTGTGACTGGCTCTGATGAATATCTGCGAGAGTAGGGCAGCACGCATTGCGACTTGCTTGTTCCATACTTCCAAAATGGGATTTGAAGCCGATTCTCGATGGCAAATATGTCAGTTTCTTGATTATGACAGAGAATGCATGCCCCTTCTCGGATGGTCGACTACCGCAGGTATATTCTGTCAAATCGGACACGGGTGTCTAACGCATAATTGTGTCATGAACGACTTTGACAATAGCATCTGCAGGTGACATTTAGTTTCAACTATTCCATGCCGAAGGTGGACTAAAATTGAATGGGGTTCGTTGTCGGAGTTTTAGCACGTTTGAATTTGATTAGGATAGCTCAAAGCCCGAGTTCACGCTTCATTTGCCTCAAAAAATAGAACTTTTGTTGCGATACCTCCTTTCAAACGACGGAAATAGCCATAAGCACAACCCCAATATTTGGAGTTTGATAGTCCGCAAGGACTGGCTATGTGATTGAGATATTGCCTTGAAACGTTATGCGAAAGATCGACATCTGTTTGGATCTCGGTAGGAGACAAACATGACCGCTCAAAATTCCATTGGGGTATGGAACGATAAGGTTTGCTTTCACGTTGTTTTGGTGTACACTCCTTAGAGCCAAGAAGCGACATCGCCGAAACCGATTGAGAGGTTTGATCCGAAGTGGTGCTAATTGATTACTACCGCTATTTATCTTGCGACTCTATTAATGACATTCGAGTTTGAAATAGTCGCCAAGAAGCACCAAACACATGGCATTTCTCAAATGAAGCCTTTCCAAATTTTGGCATACTTAGCATGCGGAATTTAAATGTCCACGTAGCGTTTTCCAAACAAATTGTATTAATAGAATCATAGGGCTGCCCTTTATGTGGTCATCTTGTACGATTAGTAAAGTACCAAACATAGCATGCACGGTACTTGTACCAGTAATGAAACCAAACATCTATTTTCGTGGCTTCCACCGGTTCATTCGATAGAGTTGGTCTTGCACAAGGGCTGTCGTGCGGTATTTGAGTTCTATTTCGTATACTGGTAGAAACGGGGATGACCGCATGGAAGAATGAAGTTTAATTATTCGGTGCGGGTGTACGCAGACTCATGGGTATCACGGATATTTTGGGACGATTATCGGATGACAGAGTTCATGTCGACGTCAAAGACTCAAATTCGGCTACGCTGTACGTGTGCCGGTATCGTACAAAGTGATCGATGTGATGTACCGTATACGGGGTTCCACACTGTGACTGCCTTGTGTAGGATGGGTTCCAAATAATCGCCAAGTAGCCGCGAATGTGAACCACAACTACTTTTCTAGAATTCAGCTTTCGCCGAAAGATCTTGCTTGACAGTCTCGATTACGAAGTACAAAAGCTTCAGGGTACCAAGTGTCTCCGAAGACATTCAATTTGACTTCTTTTCGGAACAATCCCAGGCTCTGCCGATCAAACCCGCCTCCGCGGGTGAAGAGTCAACTGGGGTGACCCGCAATGATGTTGGAGTTGGAACTCCGGAGAAACAATTGATTCCAAACTATATCCCCCAGACCTGCTGGGGGTGGGGCAACATAAATAAGGAGAACCACGAAATTTTCGGAAAAGTTGCTGCTCTGAATATCGTCTTCTTTCAAACTCTTTTCTTCGATCAATGGATACTCGAAGTATGCGTTTGTCAATCGGGAATGATGAAAGTTTTGGTTGCCTGGTGTTGGATGTGGGTCCAAGAACGCTAGAGTAAATACACCGGTGGACATAGTAAGGTCTCAATGTGCCATGGGGCCAGAGGAATATTTGAGTTTCGGCAGTTTCGTTACAAGTATTTGTGGTTGTGATGTTTGGCGCCTCAAGCGCCTCGATACTCATCGGCATCTTGGGTCAGAAAAGTTCACTACCCTTGTCACCAAGCTTCGTCATTTTCGCTACCCCTGAGCCGTAACGGGCCCTCACACTCCACCACCAGCAAAATCAACCACTGATAAGTAAGACAGGTGACTCCTCTCCGAGATCCGCGAAGATCATGTCGGTGTGATATTGCGGCGTTTAAAAATAGGCCGAATAGGCGGACATTACTTGTAAAAGGACCTACTCAAAACACCATCCAGACTTCTCATCGTCTCTTCATCGTCCTCCAGGATCTGCGCCACCCGCACGTGTAAGATAACACTCAAGCCTTTGACAAGAGATGGCACGGGCATGGCATGCCAAAAGTATCCGATCTTTATTACTGTATTTGTACGAAGTAAACAGTACGGAGACCTAGCAGCCAGGACCTCCTAATTTCATTTCTGGCGATCGTGTCTGCTCCAAGTCCTCGCCAACTTCCTGATGCAAAGACGCCTGCGTCAAAACTGTCGAAAATTTCCACAAAGAGACGAAAGAGACCATGTCGTTGACTCAAATTGAGGCCTCCAATTTTCCCTCTAGCCGGAAACACCGAGCTAGCGTAGGATGGGAATGCTGATGGGGATGCTGATTGATGCTGACCCGGTTCTCGGGCAGCAGGGAAAGACCTTGGAGAAGAGGGAATCAATTCAAGTCGTATTACGACATTGAGGTCAGGAATGAAAAGGCTCGGATAGTGTAGCGAAAAGGGGTGAGGTGTCTTGATGTTGTCAGCTTTTTTAACTGTGGACGCTGTACAGGGGCGTCGTTGGCTTGTTATTCTGTTGTACAGGGCGTAGAAGGGGGTAATTCGTTCGTTAATAATACCTGCATTGTTTCGTTTTCTTTTTCGGGAGCCACCGAGGTCCTCTACTTTTTTACCTAGAACTATTCTCACCGCCTTCCTTTATAGCTTATCGTGAAAACTGCTACTGATTTTGCCATGCACTTCCAGACATTCTGAAGGCTTTACAGTTTTGGACCCGTCAATACCCCACGAAAGCTCATCGGAATCTTAAATATCCCATTCTTGACAAATCCATCGCGATCAAAGCGGACTTGAGTCGGTGAATCAAAGACCTACCTACCCCGCAACTGAGAGTACTGTACATTCACAACCATTTGCCACCCGCGGTGATTGGGAGTATTTGTATTAAGTCAAAGGAGCGCGCTTTTTATATGATTACAATTCTCTAAACTTTTACTGCTTTAATTCAAGCTCTCCTCAATCTTAGTAAACTCAACTTGACGGCCATAGTCAAAAATTCACTAGATCAATCTCAACGCCACCCCACCAAGGAAATTCCAGAAAAAGTACAAGATGTGCAAGCACCACCAGTTCCTCAAAGATATCCCAAAGTGCGAGCATCATTTGCACATCGAAGGCTCACTTTCCCCATCCCTCCTGTTCCGTCTCGCAGAAACCAACAAAATCACCCTCCCCACCGATGACTTATCTGTCGCCTCTATATCCGCTCTCGAATCCAGATATGACCGTTTCGAAGACCTCAACGATTTTCTACATTACTACTACATCGGCATGTCTGTTCTAATCACGGCCTCTGACTTTGAATCCTTGGCTTATGAGTACTTTTCACGTGCACATCAAGACGGTGTTTACCACGCTGAGATCTTTTTCGATCCTCAAGCACATACTAGCCGAGGGATTCCTTATGATCTAGTCGTTTCAGGGATCTCAGCCGCACAAAGGAGGGCAGAGGAAGACTACGGGCTCACTTCGAAACTTATTTTGTGTTTTCTGAGACATCTTTCAGCTAGTGAGGCAGATGCTACATACGAGAACGCCGTAGCACTTGGCCATTTCTCCAGTGGAATGGTAGCAGGAATTGGACTTGACAGTAGCGAAGTCGGGTTTCCTCCAGAGATATTCCGGGAAGTCTTCCATAAGGCAGAAGTTGCCGGTATCCGGAGGACAGCTCATGCAGGCGAGGAGGGCGACTCGACATATATATCTCGAGCATTGGACATCTGTAAAACCGAACGAATCGACCATGGTATCCGGCTTGTGGATGACGGAGATTTGCTCAAACGGATGGCTCAACAGAAGACTTTGGTTACTGTCTGCCCATTAAGCAATGTGCGTTTGAACTGCGTCAAGAATATTTCCGAGTTGCCGCTTAGGAGATTTCTGGACGAGGGGGTGAGGTTTAGTATCAATAGTGATGATCCAGCCTACTTTGGGAGTTACATCCTGGACAACTATTGTGCTGTTCAGAAGGCATTTAGGTTAACCTTGAAGGATTGGAGGTATATTGCCGAGGGCGCTATTGAAGGGAGCTGGTGTGATGAGGATAGAAAGAATGTTCTACTGCGGAAGGTCGAGGATTGGGCGAAGAAATACGAGGGTATTGAATTATAGTGGTAAGCGACGCTTATAAAATGCGGGCTTCTACTTTAAGAAATTAGCATAATTTCTCAGAGAACTTTATTATGATTATCGGTCGGTAGACACCAACCCTAATACATAGTTCAACGACTCTCGCTTAATACCCCGTACCACAGTGTTCTGGAATTCGCTTTGACAGAACGATATGAAATCCGAGTTCAAGCTCCCTTCTCGTATTTTACCTTGCCAGCCATAAGTCTGATTACTGAATAGGAAATCTGAGACATATACAGGAGTGGTGTCTCGTATTTCTTAGTGCGATAGATTGAATGATTTCCAAGGAAAATCATTCATAGCTTAACACCATAGGTTCTTGTGATTGAAACATTTTTGGATTTGCGAGCGTCAAAGCATTGAGTTTCTTTCCAAGATAATGTCTAACTCGACTTGGAGGTCTACGGTGGCGGGAGACTTTGTTTCCGAGAATTTTAGCCTTGGCTACACGAAAATCACCCCAGACTTGCCCTTGCTGCAATGCTGCTCCTTTCTGCTTGTGAAGTAAGCTCCTTTCGGGGTATTTTAGAAGTCGGAAGTCGGAAGCCACTTGGAAGCCGCTTGGAATGAAAGTTAAAATAGGGTTTTTTTTAAGAGGGTCGGCATCGAGTTGGGACCTTCTTATGGCACTTGCGACATTGATCCTCAAAAACCAAGTTTTTTCCATCAAGTCTCCGAACCCCTTGGGCCTCCATGTCGGGTTGTGACGGCGACGGTACAGAAAAACCTGGATATAAGGATATTCGCGAGGGCAGGTTTCGTAGGGATATGACCGAGGTTATCCTTATATCTAGTATCCTTATGTCCAGGGTTTTCTCTATGTATTACTATATAAGGAGTATAGGCGAACCTGCATATAAGGAAACTGGATATAAGGATAACCTCAGTCATATCCTTAAAGTTTAGGTCCCGATTCTTTTAGGTAGAATACTACCTACGATATAAGGATACCTCTATAATAAGGATTCTGCTTATTTTTTTAGGTGCAAAGTTTTTTTAGCACCTAAAATAATCTTGCTTTTATCCTTCGGAGTTGTATATTCTTCGGAGATTTAGTAGTTTTATATAGATCTCTTATATTTTCAAGTATAAGGTAGAAATTAGCGACAAGAATTGGAAGACTATACGTATAGTACTAGTCTTATATAAGAGCTTGTAGGCACTATATTATGAGTTCTTAACACTTATTAAATATATACTTCGTCCCAGGTGAAATAATTGTAGGTTTGCTAGGGTGGCTAAGGTTGGCACCAGCGTAAAAACTCCTGAGAACCCCATATTTATTTCGCCTGGGACGAAGTAGCGTCGTCGCTTGTGCCAAGACCCTTGATATAAGGCTAAGGATAACCTCCGTTGTATCCTTATATCCAGATTTGTTTGTATCATCAAACGGTTACGTGAAGTCGCACAAACTCGTGCTTAGGTTGAAAATAAACGTTGCTTCAGAGATGCTACTGATCTTTTATGAACTGCACTAAACAGCTGGAAGGATTCCAACAGACTACAGGACACCACTCTAACTTAAAACTAGCATAATATAGTCTTCAATAAATCTATGTCAATAATCGACATCTTAAAAAATTACAAAGCCTGCCGAAAAACTAGCAGTTGAATTATCATTGACCGTTCCATCTTCTAATGCTTGGCAGCTTCTCACGCATTGGAAGTATTATCGGATTTGGTTGATTCACTGATGGTGAATTATTCAATTTGAAACTATTGCTAACAAGTCTAAATGCACATCTTATGTGGGATAACAGGAAAACATTTGAAAGCTGGTAATATCCTCTTCAATATATTACATTCAATGGCTAAGTCAATAGAGATCAGAACTATCGGCATTTAAAATAAAATTCTCTTAAATATGACCAGCTAGCGCAGATAGCTAAGAAGAGTTGCCAAAGTTTTCTATGATGTACATCTGAATTTTGTAGCAGCATATCAAGGGGACAAAAGAGGACATGAGGTTCCACTTGACCATATATTGAAGAATCCCAATAATATCTGACTTCTCTCTCCTTGGATATCACCATTCTTTTGGATTTGACTAAGAAAGCAAGGTGATGGTGCTCTTCACTGGATTCGCCATGTACACTTTATTAGATCGGAAAGAAACAGGAACCGGAAAATAATTGGCAATAGCCCAAATTATGTTACACAATAAGTTATATCGCAAACAAGAAACGCATTCGATAACATCTGAGCGGGCCTGTCGTGTCACACTCATTCAATACTAACACAAATGAGCGAATACTATTGGCTAGAATCTAACATATTGAGGCTGAAGATTGACGTCAGTCACTTCGATTTGAGTCAATTTACGTCAGTGATCTGGGGTTCGGTTGCGCTGGGTCAATCTAAACCTAGGACATTCGTTATGGTGGGAACAATATATTTATACTATTAAGCTCTTCTTATTACTTACAGCAGATCAATTACTACTATGAAACTTCACAGAGAAAATCGCGAAACTGAGTTGATGAAAATGGATGTTTCACCACCATACACACAACATCTGTTCGACTCTCCCAAGATATCAGAAAACGAGAGGCAAAACAACCTACTCACGCAGCCACAACAATCTCTCCATCCGATCTGTTCCACACAAGTATCAAGCAATACGCCAACCATATTTCCCCCCATATTTGGATTGTATGGAGCACACGGAGTATATGGCGATCTCTGCATTGCAACATCAAAAGCAGCTTGCGAAACGGCTCCCCTATTCTATATTTCCATGCATGACACTCATCCAGATGTAATATTACACTCACGGAATGTTGAATCATCGCCCCCTATGGCAACAGGCGTAATATCCAACATCTGGAACTCCTTCACCAGGTCCTTCGAAATAGCCATCTACCTACCCTCCGGTGAAGCTATCCCAACAAAACTGATCAAGAAAAGCCAGAATCCTTTCAAGTGGACATACTATTACACCATCCCACTTGCCACTGGCAAGAGCGAGACATTTGAATGGGAGCCGAGTGAGGGTGTAGAAGTACGGAGTTTAAATAGTGCTAGTTATGGAAGAAAGTTGGTCCGATGCAATACTGACCAAGTTGTCGCAGCTTGGGCTTGACCGAGACATGGAGATAGAAAGAAGGGAAAGCTGGCATTCCTCGGAAGTAATGGTGGTCCGAGGTTGGAGTTGGGTATCGTTTTCGAGATCGCGACTGTGATTACCATCAGTGTTCTGGTTGGGCAGGGTCGAAGGTAGAAGGAGAAGTTAAACTTTGCAGGTAACGTATTAAGATAAGATAACCAGGTGTCTACGTACATGGTTACAAAGACTCGGAAGATGGAGATCTTCCAACTTTGGTCAGTGAAGGCTGCAATTACTATCATCCAAATTTTGCACAATTCTTACAATAGTGATGTGAACATAGGTCAAACCACTTAATATTCCTAGCTAACTCTACGGGTCATGCCCGTCTTATCCCTTACTCCGTAATACCTCAGAAAACGGTAGGCCGAACGCTCAATTGAGCTTAGACTAAGTGCTCTCGCCAATCAAACCTACGGATACTACATGATAAACCTAATTAGGACGTTCTGCCTACCGGTTTCTGAGGTGCTACAGAGTAAGGGGTACTATAATAAGAGCCTTTCGCTACTCGGTACGGGGCTTAGCTGCGCGCTTGGCGGCAGAGAACGAGTTATCGAGGAACGCATTCAGGGCTAAACTAGTAAAACGTAGTTGTAGGGAAGGATAAAGGGAATAAACAAAAACAATAACAAAAAGAAACGATAAGCGAGGATAAAGCGCGACGCCTCTAGATGCTCTAAAGCCTCCGGATCTTTTTCCGAGGATTCTAACGCTTTCGAAGTAGTAATAGTTCCTCTAGTTTTACCTGTATACCTATATCCTACAATTCCTCTCTGTCCTCGCTCTAAAGTTCGAGCGCTAGCCGGTCCTCGCTTAACCTTCTAAGCGAGAGAAGCTAGGAGAGTTGAACTAGTGCCTTGTCCCTAAACCTAAGGGTAGCTCGTATATCCCTTGGGCTTTCGCTCGATATTTGTCTAGATCCCTCTATAGCCTACGCCTCTGGCACGAGATAGCATAGTAATCGGTAGCCGATATTGTCTATATAGAGGCCGTACTTATAGTACGGGGTTACCTTGTCTAGAACTCTTCTATAGAAAAAGAACTTCCTAGGACTTGTCTTTATTGTTCTAGCTTATATAAGTAAGGAGCTCTTAGCATTTAGTAGATTTCGTTATAGCTCTCTTAGTCACTAATTAACGTCTAAGACATGAACCTCGTCTAATACTTCAGATCTCCACTTCCCAAAAGGGGAGGTACCAAGGAAAACTATTGCGAAACTAACCCCTCTGTGAATTTCAGAAGACAATAAGTAGAAATGCGTAATGACTGTAAAAGCAAGCCTAATAACCCTAAACATAATTTACAGTACACAAACATTTTCAGTACCATCACAGGTAATAACCCTCTCTACCTCTGAATGAAAAACCCACGTGATAATACCTTATTTATTATAGCTATAAAAGCTATAATCACAAATTTACCAAGAGAACACCTAGTCCCAAGAAATTCCACGAATGAGATATGTTTTTACCACTAATAACAAGCAAATCTCACCTACAGTAGTACCCCATATACGCACCGCTAAATTAAGCGAGCGGCTAACCCGACACTTTTTATAGTACCTACCTCCAAGAATCCCGTTCAAACACTCGTCTACGGCAAGAATAAACTGTGGGGACTATGATTGGGAGGGGGGCGCTCCATAAGCCTTGGCATTTGAATCTCTTGATTGAGTGATTCGGTCGAGTAGGTACTGTAGTATACTCAGTATTGGATGTTCTGTTTATGTTCCGTGCCTCGTGATGTGCTGTGCGGTTGGTGTTCGTTTGCAGGCACGATTTGGGAGCTGGTGGGATTTAAATTACTATTGCGATATATTCTACTCCTTTAGTCACGTTATTTTAGACTCACCTTGTTCGAGTACTTAATA